AAAAAAAAAAAAAAAAAAAAAAAGGCCGGAGGAAGTGGAGTCCACGTGGATGTTGACGTGGAGGATGACATGGGGTCCATGTAAGCATCTTTTACATGTTGGCATATCCACATCAGCTGTTTCAGTTAAGTTAACGTGCCACATGAGCAAAAATTAACGGAGGGACTAAAAAGGGGCCGGATTTGTGAACAGTAAGGACTAAAAAAGGGATTTTTTTGGTACAGGGATCAAAAAGGGGCTTTTTCCTATAGTAGAGGGACCAAAAAAGTATTTAACCTAATTTTTTCTGAGGACTCAATAGGGGTTTTGGGTGGATTTGACAAAAATGGTGATTGATAACGATTCGAGCAAAATTTTGCAATATGACCCTCACGGTTACACAGTTGACAAGTTACAGCATATCGGTGCAGGCAAACTATAGCTAAATGTCCAGAAGTATCACATATTTGACAAACAGAGTAGTCTCTAATATTAGGCAATGGAATGTGTTGGTTAGTTAATACATTATTTTTTGGCTTTTTCAACTTCCTCTTGGGAGAACTCTGAGATGGGCAATTCCATAATGATTCAGGAGTATCCTCAATGATTCCTGTGTAAAATAATATAAAGTTAAGTAATATGATAGCAAATATGGTGCACGAACGGGAAATGAGAAATAAGGGAAGGAAAAAAAAATTATACCATCATATCGGCTGTCAAAATATTCTTGACTTTCCAATTGGTTGTCAAAGTAATCTTGACTTTCCAATTGGTTGTCAAAATATTCTTGACTTTCCAATTAGCTATCAAAAGATTGTTGATTCTCCATTAAGCAATAGAAAAAAGAGTTTTGAAAATTATAAAAGCTATTACTTTTAAATTATGATATAAAAATAATTACGTGGGCATGAAAAAAAGTGAATTGCAAAAATAAGAGAAAAAGAGCAAGAAATTAAGGAGTGTGTGCATAATGGTTGGGGAAGGTGTATATATAATGGCTTTGGCCAACCATCGGTCAAAGAGGTTAATATCAGCAACATATGCCTTGTTGCTGATATTTGGTTGGTAGAAAGATAGGAATAATAGTAACATGGTATATGTTGCTAATACTTAAGGTAATTGGAAAGGTTTTCAGCAACATAACTCTTGTTGCTGAAAGTGAATTTCAGCAACAAGAAACATGTTGCAGAAAGTGGAGCTCAATTATATGGGAAAGGGTTCACCGGAAATGGGGAAGGATTCATTGGAAAATATCAACAAGGTGGAGTATGTTGCTAAAAGTTACTTTCAGCAAGAAGAAGTATATTGCTGAAAGTGGAGCTCCATTACATGGTAAAGGGTTCACCAGAAATGGGGAAGGATTCATTGGAAAATATCAGCAAGATGGAGTATGTTGCTGAAAGTTACTTTCAACAAGAAGAAGTATATTGCTGAAAGTGGAGCAGCTTTTCAAAGGGTGGAGTGTCCTGTACAACTTTCAGCAACATAGGACATGTTGCTGATACATATTTTCAGCAACAAAGAATCCCATGTTGCTGATATATTGTTGCTAAAAATCAAAGTTTTAGTAGTGGTACTGTGAAAGTTGCGGTTAATCAGATGGTTTTCCACAAAATCTCAGAGGGGCAACTAACATTGGTTGATGCTTTGAAACAATTTTGGTTTGATGTGGAGTACAACTGTAGTGCGGTTTTCTGTCATCAATATGTGAGTTTTGGTGGGAAACACGAAGACAATTCGACTTCAGGTCAGTATCTACGAGCAGCATTCTCGCATCGTCCAGGTCCGGATCAAGGTATGGATTATCTATTGTAAGGGTAGGTCCGAGGTGCCCAACCTCAGACGTACGACATTAATTCCTTTACAACCGGAGTGAAGAGTAAATCCAGAGCTTCCCGCTCGAACAGCTGCACAGCAGTTGTGATGGACATCCTTGCATCTAAATATCTCTCAATTTCCCGGTCCCGAAATAACCGTATGGAGATACACATCGGATCTCGAATATCTTGCTTGGCTCAATTTCCCGGTCCCGAAATAATTGTCTGGAGATACACATTAGATCCCGAGTATCTTGCTTGGCATGCCACGTGGGTTCTTCATTGGAACCTATAAATACCTCTCAAGGGCCACATCAAAAAGCTGATTGAAACCTACCCTAAGCTCCTTTTTCTTCCGCTCTAAAGGTAGCCCCGATTATTGCTGACTTAAGCATCGGAGTGTCTATCACGAGGACCCACCTTGGGGCTTTGCAGGTTCATTTGAAGTGAAGACGTGGACTGAAGAAGGACTTCTGGTTTGGTGCAGTTACATTTAGCGTCGTCTGTGGGAATTTGAACTGAAAGCTCCCTTGTTGCTCTTATCATGGTTAGAACTAGGTCAGTCCAAGGTGGAAACTCATTTCAGCCTCTCGAACGGGGTTAGGTCCCCAGCAACCTCCCACCTCATCCCCCGGCCCCAATCCTGCATACCCGCCCCCAATCCTGCATACATTCCCTCATGTTGACCATGCAGAAGGAGGAGATGAAAATCAGCCACACAATTCGGCTCACAACTCAGCCTCTACTGCTAACCAAGACGTAGTTGCAACTTAGCTCGTTGCCATGCAACAGCAGTTTGGTGTTTTTCAGCTAGTGCTGGCTCAGCTATTAGTCTGGAACAATCCTGGTGATCCACTCATCAACCTACTTAATCTTGCTCCACAACCCCCAGCTCCACAACAAAATCCTGATCCAGTTCAGCATGCTCCTGCTATTAGTGAATCTCAGGGCCAATCTCACATCGCACCAGTTTAGCAACCCCTTCATGACGATGTCACTCGACGTTTAGATGGCTTAGAAAAGCCAGTGGCTGAACACCGAGGTGCCCCACCTCCATACCATGTGGCTGACTCCATACCTCATCATTTGAACACCAACATTACATTGGAACCCTACCCCGCTGGCTTCAAGATACCACTACTCGAAACTTATGATGGGACGAAGGACCCCGATGATCATCTCCATGCTTTCTACTTTTACATGCAAGCCCAGAACGCCTCTGATGCGTTGATGTGCAAAATCTTTCCCTCTACTCTACGAGGTAATGCTCAAACCTAGTACTACAGTCTACCTCCGAGGTCAATCAGCTCTTATATAGAAATGGCATCTGTTTTTGCCACAAAGTTTTTCAGTAGAAGGTTGACCAGGAAAACTACTTCCGAGCTAGTGCGAGTTAGGCAGAGGGACGGAGAGTCTTTGAAGAATTTTATGAGCAGATTCAATGATGCAGTACTGGAGGTTAACTCCTTCGACCAAGCTGTGGAATTACAGCTGTGATCTCAAGTCTTAGCCATGAGAGATTCAGGGATAGCCTGCTTAAACATCTTGCCACCACCTTCAGCGAGGTAAATGATAGATCACTAAAATTCATCACTGCTGAGGAATATGCCCTGTCGTAGAACCCAGCTCTTATTAAGAACCAACACTCGGACTGGAGAGATGAGAATCTGAACAGGAAACAGATGAAGACAACACAGAACCGAGGTCCGATGCCCACTTCCACCCCGAGATTCGGAAGGCCGAACTCAGCACCTCCACAACAACTTGCAGGTAAACCTTCAGTTACTTAGACTAGTTTTAATTTTCCGAGGTCACAAATGTTTATGCAGATTAAGAATAAGATGGACATAAGGCATCTGGGTCCAATGAGAACTGCCGCTGCTACTAGAGATCATACTAGGTATTGTGATTTTCATCAAGATCACGGTCATACAACAGAGCAATGCAACAGTCTGAGGTCTGAGCTAGAAAGTTTGGCTCAGAAAGGAATGTTGAATGAGTACATCCAGAGAGTTGAATAGCCAAGGTTTGTCAGAGAACAGGGCCCACAGTATCAAGGAGTCTACAATCCCCCAAATAGGCAAGGGGTGGGATATCAGCAAGCCCCACCCCCGCTCCCACTACCAGCTAGAATCATACACATGATTATGAGAGGCCTGGAAGTAGGTGGATTGAGCTCTAAACAGAGAAAGTTGTATGTTAGAGAGGTTAAGCATCCAAACCAAGCTCAGAAACGAAAGTTTGACGATGCTGACTGGAAGAATCAACCTATTACTTTCACATCTGTTGATTTTGACACAGTTGTTACACCCCCCAATGATCCTCTGGTCACTTCTGTCCTGATTAACAAATGTGAAGTCCAATGTGTCCTTGTTGACACCGGGAGTGCACCAGACATCATGTACTTCCACTGTTTTGAGAGTCTTGGACTAGATCCGGCATTATTGCAGAGATATGATGGTCCCATCTATGGTTTCAATAACCAGCCAGTTCCAGTTGAAGGTGTCCTAACCATGAATGTTGCATTTGGGAGTGGCCGAACCTACGTGACTCCTTCCGTCCTGTTTCTAGTAGTCAAGATGGCGTCCTCCTTCAATGTTGTTATTGGCCGACCCACGCTGACTGAAATTCGAGCCGTGGTTTCCCAGTCTCACCTCTGCATGAAGTTCCCCACTCCCATGGGCATAGCAACACTGCGAGGTAACCAGGAGATGGCTAGACATTGCTATATCACCTCGGTAACACAACCCAAGAAGGGCAAAGATTAGATACCTAAACCCGTTCCCCAACAGATTTCTGACAATCAGCAAGTCATAGGTGTTAAGATCGTAGATAACCGACCGGAAGATGAAACCAGAGCTGCCCCAGTTGAGGATATTGAGGAAGTGCATATTGATGACAGAGATCCGAGTCAAAAAACGCAAATTGGAACTAAGTTGAACCCGGAGGAAAAAGCAGAGCTAATAGCTTACCTTCAGGCCAACAAAGATGTTTTTGCATGGACTTCAACAGATATGCTGAGAATTCCCACTTCAGTTTCTCAACATAAACTCAGCACCAATCCACTCAAGAAACCAGTAGCCCAAAAACGGCGCCTCTTTGGGGGGCAGAGGTTACAGGTCATTAAAGAAGAAGTTGAGAAACTCCTACAAGCTAGCTTTGTTAGGAAGGTCGATTACTGTGAATGGGTCGCCAATCCTGTGCTAGTAAAAAAAGCAAACGGTAAATGGCAGATGTGCATCGATTACACTAACCTCAACGACGCATGTCCAAAAGACTGTTACCCAATGCCAAACATTGACAAGCTGGTTGAGGCAGCTTTTGGAAATGAGAAATTAAGTCTCTTGGATGCATACTCTGGCTACCACCAGGTTCCAATGGCTCCTGAGGATGCAGATAAAACCTCGTTCTATGCTGGCGATGAAATTTATTGCTATGTAATGATTCCCTTCGGCTTGAAGAACGCAGGTGCCACTTACCAGAAGATGGTTACCATCGTATTCCGAGCTCAAATAGGTCAAAATCTGGAGGTATATGTTGATGATATAGTGATGAAAAGTTTGAAAGCTGGAGATCACTTAATCGACCTCGAGGAGACATTCAACAACCTCAGAAAGAACAAGATGAGGTTAAATCCAGCAAAGTGTATTTTCGAGGTAGAGTCGGGAAAATTTCTAGGCTTCATGGTGTCCAAAAAGGGGATTGAGGTCAACCCTGAGAAGATCAAAGCAGTAGCCGAGATGGAACCACCAAAGTTAGTGAAAGATGTGCAAAGGTTGATGGGGAGAGTAGCTGCTCTTCATAGATTCATTTCGAAATCAGCAGATAAATGCTTGCTGTTCTCCAAGATCATGAGATTGGCAACTCAGAAGGATGAATCTGGCAAACAAAAGAAGTTTGCATGGAATTCAGAATGTCAAGCTGCATTTGATGAGCTGAAGTCTTATCTTAGCTCACCTCCCTTGTTGACAAAGGCTAATGATGGAGAAATCCTTTACTTGTACCTCAAGATATCAGATGAGGCTATCAGTTCTGTGTTAGTAAGGGAAGAGGGAAAGCAACAGAAACCAGTTTACTACATCAGTAGCGTGTTACATGGAGCTGAAGTCAGATATTCCATTGCTGAGGAAGCAGCCTTAACAGTTGTCACTTTGGCCAGGAAATTGAGACCGTATTTCCAATCACACCCAATCATAGTCCTCATGGACCAGCCAGTCAGACAAATTTTGTAGAAGCCAGAATGTTCGGGAAGATTGATCAAATGGGCAGTTGAATTGGGAGAGTTCGATATCACATTTCAGTAGAGGTCAGCCATCCAAGCTTAGGCTCTCACCGATTTCATAATAGAATGCACCTCGGCTCACATTGATTCCCAATCCGAGGTGGACAGTTGGATTCTGTATGTTGATGGCGCATCAAGTAACAAAGGTTCTGGCACCGGTGCAATCCTACTTGGCCCAGATGGGTACCGAAGCGAACACGCTCTAAAATTTAATTTTGATGCCACTAACAATATGGCCGAATACGAAGCCCTGCTACTCGGCCTACAGCTGGCGATAGAATTGAAGGTTGAAGTAATACAAATATAAAGTGATTCACAGCTAGTAGTCAATTAGGTTAACTCAGTCTGTGAAGTGGTTGATCCTGTTATGATGAAGTATGCAACTATGGTGGCCGAACTGAAATCCAAATTCCAGAAATTCCATTTAAGCAAAATACCTCGAGCTAAAAATGAGCAAGCAGACTCTCTCTCCAAGTTTGCTTCTGATGGCAACCAAAGCTTTAGATCAGTCTTTGTAGAAATTCTGGACGAGCCTAGCTTCTTGAAGCCATGAATGATGGAGGTCAGCACATATCCTAACTCATCGAGCTGGACAGATCCAATTATCTCGTATCTACAAGATGGCACAGTACCTGCGGATAAATAGGAAGAGATGAGGTTGAGAAAGAAGGCATCTCGGCACACCCTTGTTAATGATGTCCTCTACAAGAGATCTTTCTCACTCCCTCTGCTTCGCTGCCTAACCCCTTATGAGGCTGAATACGCACTTGGGGAGGTGCATGAAGGTGTCTACGGAAGTCACGTAGGTGCTCGAACTTTGGCCCATAAAGTTCTTAGACAAGGTTATTATTGGCCCAACATGTATAAGGATGCCATCCAGTTCGTACAAAGGTGTCAGAAATGTCAGTTTTTCGCACATCTAATCCATCAGCCTACAGAAGAGCTCACTACTCTGGTAGCACCTTGGCTATTTGCTCAGTGGGGTCTTGAACTTTTAGGTCCATTTATGAAGGGGGTAGGAGGTGTAACCCATCTCATCGTTGGTGTGGATTATTTTACAAAATGTGTTGAAGCTCGAGCACTATCCAGTCTTACCTCCAAGAAGGTTGAAGACTTTGTTTTCAGCTCGATTATTTGTAGATATGGGATCCCAAGCCAGATCGTAGCTGACAACGGAACTCAATTCAATTGCTCCTCATTCTGGGATTTCTGTTCCAACTACGGGATCAAACTGCAGTTCACCTTGGTTTACCATCCGGAGTCCAACGGCATGGTCGAATCTGTTAAAAAATGCATCTTAGAAGGTATAAAGCTGAGATTGGAACAGCACAAGGCCAAATGGGTAGACGAGCTCAACAATGTCCTCTGGGCATACAGAACCATGAGTTGAACTGCCACAGGTATTACTTACGACCTGGTCTATTTGATTGACTTTACATTGTTTTTCTCCTTCTGTTACGGCTTTACCTTAGGGCAAATATGCATAACGCGTAAAGCGCATTCTAAAGTTATAATTAATTGAAATATGTGAAACACCTTACCATCTAGCCTGATCCTCAGCTTCAGCTCCTTGCGCTTCTTCTTCTTCTTCTCCTTCCTCCACTGCCACCAGCTCAACATTAAAGGCTGGAAGGAAGATAGTGCGTCCCTCTGCGTCATGCTCCCACCTCAGCTTGATTAGAGGTCGGAAGTCAGCAGAAAGACTCTCACCATCCACCTCCACTCCTTCTTCTTGTTCCCCAAAGGTGACCGTTGTCACGTCCACCTCTGGGTACTGGGCCTTCACCTTCTTTCTACAGTCGGTGAAGGCCACGATTGCGGTTGGTAAACGGTATAGCTTGAGGATGTTCTGGAAGGTACTGGAGTTGAGGAAATTGCTAATGTGCTCTTCCATCCCGTTGTGAACTAGCAGATTGACGTTCTTCTTTAGCTCCGCCGCTCCTTTCCTCATGTTGTCAATATATTTGTCTTGAGCTTCGAGCTTCTTCTCACAGATTTTCCTCTTACGTTCTTGAAGGGCAAGCTTCGTGCTCAAGACATCATTGTCATTCTGGAGCTCGGTCACTGAAGGGAGAACTTCATCCAACCTTCTCTACATCTCCCTCTTCTCCCTTTCCCACTCCTCCTTCTCCTTCTGTGGCTCTTCCCTCTCCTTCTGCAGCTGCTCACACTACTCAGCAAGCTAGCACGATCTCTCACACTTTCCGCGTACTCCTGCGTTAGAGCATTTGTCCAGCTTGCACTTTGCAAGACAAGCAGAAGTCAGACCTCAAACACAGAAGTCAAAAAAAAAAAAAAATTTAACATACATAGGCTGCAACTCCTTTACATATCTCCAGAGCATGCCTCACAACAGTAGCCCCTAGCTAGCTGGCTCACCGCCTCATCCTTTGCCTACCTCCTTTCAACCTCAAGAAGGGTAGCGTTGAGGAAGCGCTTCACCCCAGTAGTGTTTGTTGCTTCGAACAAACTCTTCTGGAACGAGGTTGGGAGAAGGGTCCCTTGCCTTTGCCAGGACCCTGTACCTCGGCCTCCTCCCTTTCCCAGACTTCAGGATCAATTTTTGGAGGAGAAGGCCGGGGCACGAACTCCACCACCTCATCCCCCCTGGCTTCTGGCTCTGCCACCCTCCTTTTCTTCCTTTGGAGCGGTGCCACCTCTTCGCTCACATCCTCACTAGCCCCCATCACAAGCTCTAGCCTTGGCTGCAACTCCAACGCTCGGGTAGAAGTGCTGGACAGCCGCTCCCTCTCTACCACCCCCTTCTCCGCCATAGTTGAAGTCTTTGACTTCTTCCTTGGTTTCTTTGGGATGTGCAGGCCCCCAACAGCATTAATGAACTCGTCCATCTCAGCTGCAAAACAAACATCAATGTCAGAACACACCAGTTAAAATCTCATCAAAATTGCACACTATAAGCATACACAAACCTTCGCTCAATGAGCTTGGCCCATAGAGCTCAGCAGCCTCTATTGCCTTCGGGCTGGTGAGGTACAAGATGTCCACTACGTCTCCTTCCTCCCTCACCAGCTTTTCTACCTCCTCCACCTCATCCTCATTTAACTTATAGTTGTTCTACTTGGTTTTCTTAGCTTTCTAAGTAGACAACTGTTCCACTTCGGCATCCCTCCTATTCTACTCGGTGTCATCCACAAAGAAGAATTTTTCTTTCCATCCTTTGATGGATGACGGTCCAGCAGAGAATAAACTCCTATTATCTTTGCTGAACGACCGAGGACCGAAGTAATACCACCCCTTCTCCCCCTTACCCCCAGCCTTTATTATGAAAAAGTATTTGAACATATTTACTATAGGGACCCCAACCCCCCGAACTCGGCAATATACAATAAAACCTATGATTACCCTTATGGCATTTAGGGTTAATTGGGTTAATCCTATGCTATAATCTAATAACAACCCAACCAGTAATTTTGGAATGGGAAACCTAAGCCCTACAATTAAAAAATGGACGTATATGGGCATCCAATGGTCTCGAGGTGCTGAGCATGCCCTCTCATTCACCTCGGCAGGTCTAAGTAGGACATGGTGAGGAAGGTTGTAGTTACCTACGAGGCCCCTAAGACTACCCTTGTTACCTAGTTCACTTGCATATCCCCTCACCTCAGACACTATCTCTAAATCTGGGTCATAGCACCCATCTACGCTACTCCCCGCCTCCAAAATGTTTGAGGGGATCTCATCTTCCTCCTCCTCTACTACCCTTTGCTCCCTCCTTTCCTCCACCGTCCTCTCCGAACTGGTGGGAGACGGACTGCTCTCTGAATCCATGCTCCCGTAATCCAAGGGCATCACCTCACTCCCCACTACACTCATGGTCCCTTCTAGAGACATCTCCTCAATTTCTACATAAAGTAGGAGGAGGAACAGAGTCAGGACCCTTAACAATGCTAACACACTCAATACATTCTCACCCCCAACCCTAATTTCCTTCAAAAAACCCAAAATCAACGACAGAAAGGGAGAAAGGAGAACAGCACTTCGACAGAATCAAAATCAAAAACTCATAAACATTACCTGTTTTTTATCTTAGGAAACTGTTGTTGAAGCCTCAAACACAACGCAAATCGCACGAACCCGCAGAGATTTTAGCAAGAATTTAAAAGAAAAATCGTGAGAGTAAAAAACCCCCTCTTACAAAAGTATAGCCTTTTATACCAAAGGCCAAATACGCTTCAACGGCTGTGATTAAACCCATCTAACGGCTGCAGAAACACCGTTTCGAATTCGACGGTTAACCCTAAACGGCACCGTTTCGAACTCGACGGTTCGTTTTTTAAATATGCCCGTTAGGTTATTGCAGTAATCTTTTTTACGGCGGCATTTATTACGCACGTCATTCAAATGGCAGCTATCGCATCACGTACCGCGTCTTGGTCAGACTTCTCAGACGGGCCCACTTAAGCCCATTTCAACACTCTTGCTCATTCTTATCTATTTTAACCCAAATGTTTTACTTCGGCTCCGACCACAGTGACCCAATGTCACACATTTTACTTCGGCTCCGGCCACAATGACCCCGTGTCACACGTTTTACTTCGGCTCCGGCCACAGTGACCACGTGTCACACGTTTTACTTCGGCCATGGCCACAATGACCCAGTGTCACACGTTTTACTTCGGCTCCGGCCACAGTGACCCCGTGTCACACGTTTTACTTCGGCTCTGACCTGTGACCTAGTGTCACACGTTTCACTTCAGCTCCGGCCACAGTGACCCAACGTCACATCCTTCACTTCGGCTCCGGCCACAGTGACTCCGTGTCACGTGCTTTACTTCGGCCCCGGCCACAGTGACCTAGTGTCACATGCTTTGCTTTGGCTACAACCACCATCACTCTGGTCATTACTTTTTATTATGACTCATAACTAAATATTGCCTATGGTCATCCATACATGTAAAGTTACAGATTTTTATCTTTATTTTTACTTCTGTAACTCATTTTTAATATTCTTGTCTCCTTTCCTTTCTACTTATGCACTACCCCTATCATCTCCAACCACATCATTCACAAGTGAATGACTTTGGGAGGGGGGAATAGTGTAAGGGCAGGTCCGAGGTGCCCAACCTCGGACGTACGACAGTAATTCCTTTACAACCGGAGTGAAGAGTAAATCTAGAGCTTCTCGCTTGAACAGCTGCACAACAGTTGTGATGGACATCCTCGCATCTAAATATCTCTCAATTTCCCAGTCTTGAAATAACCGTATGGAGATGCACATCGGATCCCGAATATCTTGCTTGGCTCAATTTCCCAGTCCCAAAATAACTGTCTGGAGATACACATCAGATCCCAAGTATCTTGCTTGGCATGCCATGTGGGTTCCTCATTGGAACCTATAAATACCCCTCAAGGGCCACGTCAAAAAGGTGATTGAAACCCACCCTAAGCTCCTTTTTCTTCCGCTCTAAAGGTAGCCCCGATTATTGCTGACTTAAGCATCGGAGTGTCTACCCCGAGGACCCACCTAGGGGTTTGTAGGTTCATCCGAAGTGAAGACGTAGACTGAAGAAGGACTTCTGGTTTGGTGCAGTTACATCTATGCAAAACCATTTGTTTTTAATTTGGTGTAGTGATTACGACTTAGGATTATTCTGTCTTGGCATTCACATTCAATACACAATTGAGTCTATACTATAGCTTCGTGGAAACTCACTACTTGACATTGTTCTGGTCTTCTTTGAACAAGTCAACGTGACTAGCAGCTTTGGTTGATTGGACTTTTAAACTTAACCCACTGCTACAAAATTGAAATGACAATTTGCTCCCACGCCCATGATCTTCCTCTATAGTTTTTTCACCCAATTGAGTGGAGACCTAGTAAAATTGGCCGGAGCATAGATGACTGAGGGACTAAGTGCTTCTCCCTCCAAGTGAATGAAAGTTGAAACTACAATATTTTTTATAAGGAAAAAAAAATCTACAAAAAGTGGTTTGGGGCACGGGTTGCTTGAGGCAACTTATGCCTTGAGTACTAGGCTAGGAAGTAGGAACGGGTTGCTTGAGAGACCTTATGCCTTAGGTAGCTCGGCACGGGTTGCTCAAGGGAACTTGTGCCTTGAGTTGGCTTGCTTGCAAAAAGCTTTTGCGAGTTCAAGCTTGAAGCTTGGCTGGACTTCGAGTTTGATTCAAGTGACTTGGTTAAATTAATTGTGTTTGATATGAAACGTAGTAATTTAATCAACTTCATTATTAAGCTTGAAATAAAACTCGTTACTAAGTTTAGATTATTATAGAAAATATTGTAAAGCATTTCTCTTAAAATTTTTTTTGAAGGACTTATTTGCATGTTAATTCTAATATTAATTTAATACTTATAACTTTTTGATAAAAGATTTTTATTTATTAATATAATTAATATTATTAAATTTTTTGTAATCAACAAATTAGTTAAATTTATTAAAATAATTTAAAAATCAATATACACAATTTATATGAATAAAA